TTCCCTACAACAATGTGAATTCAGTTTTAACTTCTTTACATGGGAACTGAACACTCTAGAAGTCTATGAATCCTATAGGAAATCTTTTAGGATATTCAAAGAGAATCATTTGTAAGGATAAACATCTTTGAATCTCATTCACATTTATTTGTATCACCTGTCTTTAGAGTGTCCGCAATACATTCTCTTCTAACATTTTTTTAAGACACTTTAATATTAGTTAAAATTAAGGAGATTTGTTAAATAAGAAGTAAAACTCACAAAAATGTATAATTTCCCATAAATTTTAGGTGATAATAAAATATTTTCAAAAGAATGTCAGAGAACGTGATTCTAGCCTTTTTCGTTGGAGCTCATTCTGTAGCAATTTTCGCTCTTCTGCCTTCTGGTGTTTGGTTGATGTGTTAAATATTCTGTTACAACTTCCAAATCCTTTTTGAGACTTGGAATTGAATTATGCACTAGTACATGTTACGGTTACTGGTAAACATGTACTTTTCTTATACTTAATACTTATTTCAAAATTGGTGTACAATGAAATAATGTGAGGTGAAGAATGTCTTAATGTTGTGAACCTTTTTTGTTCCTTACATTATGTGCATTTTCTGGTGGCATTGCAGATGTGTTATCACAGGTAATGGGGGAACTTCATATGCATATCTGGGACGACCATGGAGACCTTTTGCAAGAGTGGTCTTTGCATTCACTTATATGGATCACTGTATAAAGCCTGTTGGGTGGAATAATTGGGGGAAAGTTGAGAATGAAAGAACTGCTTGCTTCTATGAATACAGGTACTCATTCACTTATATGCTATTAATTGCATATATATATATATATATATATGAATCCAATTGTTTCCTCATTCAATCCAGGGATCTTACTGCAAATTAAGGTTGAATTTAGACAGTGAACTCGGTGTATAAAATATGGTATATAATATTTTGTAACCAAATTATACAAAAAATAAGTTTGATTTGAAACAATAATGCAAGACAAGCACTTCAGAGTATTTTGGCAAATTAAAAAATTGAAGTTATAACGTGATAAAATACTTCTAAAAAACAAGTAGACAGGTAAATATACAGACAAATAAGTCTTAAATATGAATACACATAGAGAGTAAGTCAATATATTTATGTTTTCTTATTAACAAATTCCAATATAAATAAAACATATATAGTTGAATTCTTTAAATATGTTGTCAAGAATTTAAAGTGTAGAAGAAAATTTTATTAAAAGAGAAAATATTTATTTTGGTTATCTCTACCCATCGAAGAAATTAGTTTTAGTTTTGGACCGTAATTAGTTACGAATATCCTTGGTATTAATTTTTTTTTAATTTAATTTAGCTACATATTTATACTCGTCTCTTTAAGATGGCATAATATTTTTTATGCAAGTGTTCTTTGAGCTTATATACTTTTCCTTGCTTGAATAGGGGTACTGTATCCTATTCTAAAATTTTCAAATAACCAAAACAAAAAGTCAAAAACGGTAATTAAGCAAAGATAAATATTTCTTTTAAACCAAACTTTAGAGGGTTTAGCGATAAAAAAACAAAAACCATCTAGGGTATAACATAAAAACCAGAAAAGTGAGTAATAATTGAAATAATTTTCACCTGCCTTAAGTTATAAGATTTAATAATTATGTAGTCTCAATGTAAAAATATTAATATCACTTTTAAGATAATTATTTATAAAACTAACAAACTCACCACATATATATAGTTTGTGATTAGATATCATTATAAAATTATTGGGTCGTTCTTTTTCTAAGTTTTACATTTAAAGGTAATGGTTGTTTATTGATCGAGTTGAAGAAGTTTGGAGTAATTTTATGAAAGTACAGGTGTTTTGGAGGAGGTTTCTGTCCATCCCAACGAGTAAAATGGGCAAGAGAATTAAGGGATGAAGGAGCTGAGCAGTTTCTGATGCATAGCTTTATTGACCCTGAATCAGAGAGACCTTGGCTTGCTCAAAGAATGGCCTTAAGGATTCCATATTCTGCTTAGAAACACCTCATTGTTCATCATAATATTGCTCCACTGTTTCATGTCATGTCTATCCAAATAAGAAACAAATTGTGTTTCCAAGAAGTTTAAGTCAACAAATATTTAACACACTTTATTAAAAGCATAAGTCTTAAATGATTGTTACGTTTTTAATGTAATCAAATTTTCTTTCATTTGAATGTTTTTTGCTTATCTTTTGTTTGATAAAATATGCAATTTTGTTGTGTATATTTCTGACATGGGCTTGTCATCAACCAGAAATATTTACTACCTTAATTATAGATCATTTTTCCTTCAGCTAATTAAGAGTTTTTTTTTTATAAAAATAATAGAGACGACAAAGTTACTTAAAGAAATCGAGTATAACCAACAACTTGATAATATATTAATATCAATTTTGGTGGCATCATTAAACTAAGAAATGAAAAGTTAAAATCTACTTATAATAAGGATAAATCATTTATATAGGACAGTGTAAATTTGCATTTCATAGAAATTAAAATTTTATAATATAAAAATTTTAAACTATGAAATGTAATATTTTGATGTAAGTAACATTTAACGGGCAAAATTTGTTGTATTAACTTTTATTAGTTATCATTGTTATATTCTACTTTTTTAAAACATTTTTTTTCTTAATTAACAAGTCGTTAGATTTAATGAAACTTGATCTTATTAAATAAAAGGTTTCAAAAGTTTTGTTGATAATAAATATAATTGAGATAATAAATTTTAGAAAAGTAATTTGAGTTAGACTATTGGACTTGATACATGAATAAATGATGTGTAACCTTTTTTAATAGTCTAGAATAGATGGGACCTAAATTTTTTCAATAAAATTTTTTATTAAAAATATTCAATCAAGTTTCTTGACAAAGATTACTTATCATAGTAAAGTCGTAAATATTTTACATTAATAACATAAAAATACTATTTTATACTTTTTCCCGCTTAACTTTCATAATTATTCTATTTAATTTTCATTAATATTAATAATTGTATCAATTTTTATATTTGTTTTTAATTCTCAGTAATCTTCTCATCCATTTAATCTCAATAAATTAATATTATATTGATTTAAATTGAGAACATGTGAAAATCTTATGCATAAGGTATGTTTAAATTTTTATAATTTATAATTACAATAAATATAAAATATAAAATAATATCAAACTAAAAAAGTTAAATATTTACAATTAATGGTACCGATAACATAAGATACAAAACTATTAATTATAGATCAATGAAAAATCCATATTATAATACACAGTAAACAATTAATTGAATAACATTCAGTTGTTATAATTAAGCAATTTAAAAATAAGACATTCAAACAAATTTCGGAAATAATGGCCGTTTCTTTAAACTTATTTTAAATAAAATAATTAATTTCTATTTTTTGTGTTTGTCTGAATTGTTTATTTTTTATATAAACATTTTCTTGCTTTTTTCTATTTTTTTAATACCTTTTTTGCTTTTCATAAGAAGCAATTTTTATCTTTTTCTTAAAAAATTACTTTTTAAAAAACATTTTTTTAATAATCAGTTTTTTTTTTAATTTAAACAAGCTAAGTCAATCATAAAATAAAGAAAATTTTGGGATTCACTTTGAGAATAATTTAAAGATATCAAAACAAATAAATGACACAACATCCTACAATAAAGAACTAGCGAGACTTAAAAGAAAAATAACCTAGCAACCACACACACACATATATATATATATATATATA